ATTCACAAACTCAGTGCCCCATGGGCTTTGCAGAAGACAACTGCATGGGGCACCATTGACTTTGGTGCTTGCACATGGCTTTCCTTCCTACTAGGAAGACAGCTCGAAACAAAGAAAATGATCCATTATGTTGCTGTGCCTCAATTCCACTGAGGCTGAAAGATTAAATGTTGTTAAAGTCATGAAGTAGACATTTAAAAAATAAGAGACTGTCTATAATCTGAAAAAGTAGGCATGCAAATGACAGTACAGTAAGTAAGAAACAGTTCTCAGCTATCTTCCATTATATACAGGAGGCAGCAACAGACTGAATAAGGAACCCTAACAAAAATGACCAGAATGACTGACTTACCTGCTTGGGCTTATTTATAATATGGACATTCTTTTATTTCCTTAGAGAGAGAGACAGCTACTTAAGTACACTGTGCGTGTGTGACTGCGTGTGTATGAACTGAACTTTTCTTGGCTTTCATGGCAAAGAAAATAATTGACCATGCAGCAAGCAGCCTATGTAGGAAGTGCAAAAAGCAGAGGAGTTCTTACTGTGTGTTCATTCAATCAGTGACTCGCTCACTGGGTATCTATCATGAGGCAGGCATGGGGTCATGGCCTGGCAGTACCAACATGATAATGGTACAGTCCTTGCCTTTTAGTCGGGGAGGTAAGGTTATCCCCCAAATATGGTAGAGAGGGAGGTATCAACATAAGATCAGAACCCACAGCTGAAGGTTGCTTTATTTGCAGCTTTTGGTCACTGATAAGCCCGTGGGCAGCAGTAAAGGGGACAGGGATAGGAACTTGTGGGACTCTAACAGTGAGGGCAGAAGGCACTGATGGCACGGGAGCAGGCCTGCAGGTTCTGGGCCTGGGTGGTTCTGGAGTACATAGGTTTTACCCGCTGCTCAGTGAGCTCCCAGTTAGCTGTTTTCTGACCTGCTACCAAGCAGCCTCCTCTTCTCCCTTATCCTATCTGTCGTCACAGGCGGCCTGGCAGGGGTATGGGCCCAGCCTACAACTCATGACCACTCAACTGCTGTTCTCACCAGTTCTGGGTTCTTGGTAGAATTCTAGTGAAAGGAAGAGAGACAAAGGCTGCTGGCCCTGGCTCATGTCTTCCACCTGGGTGCCCACTTCTGACTTGACCGCCATGGCCTGGAGGGATGTGGTCACATGATCTAAGCCCGTCAGGTGGCTCTGAAAGGCAAGGCGGGCAGCAAGGACCTCCCAGAGAATGTGGCACTGAAGGTGGCCTTCCTGTCCAGTGAGACTAGACAGTTTGAAGACAGATGGGACGTTCCAGACGGTAAATGGAAAGAGAAATCGTTGGGCTAGGATCCATTACACAAAGGAGAATGACACCGAGAAGGGAGGTGGAGGCCGGGTCACAGAGGCCTATGACTTCTAAGGGAGGAGCCAGGATTTTACTTTTCACTCAAAGGGAACCCTTATGGGAGGGAGAGAACTGGAACTCTGCCTCAGGAAGACAAAACCGGCAGTCGGGTGCCCAGCGGATCAGAAAGGAGAGACTAGACGGGGAGCCTAGCTGATTCTTCTGCGATCTGGCTTCAATCCTTCCTCAAAGGCTGGTGACAAGGACACTAATGTGGTGCTCTGGGCAGACACTCGCCAGGGCCTGAATAAACGCACAGGTCATGGCAAAGCCAATGGCTGACAGCATAAGAAGGCCAGGTGTGAACAGGCCTAGGGGTGATGGTTGTGAAATGACTCGGGTTCTAAAGCCAAACTATACCAGACCTGCAGAGATACAAGAAAGGGAGACAAAGATCATACTCAGCTGCTACGTGGTGGGAGGGCCTCCTCCACAAACCCCCTCCGGGAAGGGGGAGGAGACAAAAGCCAGGTGTCAGGGCTGGTGGGGCTGGCAGTGACAGTGCTGGTGACGGTGATGGGTGGGATAGAGCAGGCAGTCACGACAGAATACAGCAGGGCTCCAGGGCCTGAAGTTCTAGCATGGTCACAAGCACCCTGCTGAGGACAGCACTGCTCCCAGACAGGCAGGGATGGGGAGAAGTCACACGTTTTCCCCTTTAGTATCCTAGTAAAGGGAAATGTGGGGACAATGAGTGTCAAAGGTGGCTGCGAAACAGCAGAGTCCAGGACAACGCTGAGGGTGTGAGGCCCACAAGCTATGCCTGGAGGGTGGGGGGCAGGCAACTGGCTCTGCAGGGAACCCGGTATAGCAATGCTGGGTATTTTTTTTAAAGATTGATTTATGTTATTTGAAAGGTGGAGCAACAAAGAGAAAGAGGAAGGGGAGGAGAGATGGATCTCCCATCTGCTGGCTTACTCCTTTAATGGCCTCAATGGCCAGGGCTAGACCAGGTCAAAACCAGGAGCCTGCAACTCCATCCAGGTCTGCCACATGGGTGGCAGCGTCCCATCCTTCATGCCTTTCCAGGCACATTAGCAGGGAGCTGGACTGGAAGTGGAGCCGCTGGCATTGGGGCCTGTGCTCAGATATGGGAGGTGAGAGTTGCAAGCAGCAGCCTAACTCGCTGTACCACAATGCTGGCCCCACAGTGCTGCAGTCTTATCTGCTCTTCGCCAGTGGCTACTGAGGCTCAGGCTCAGGGAACCTTCCAGTCCTCAGTGTAGGGATTTGGATTTTACTCCAAGTACAGTGAGAAAACCACTGGAGAACTGAAGCAAGGTGACCTGATCACTGTCATTTTGTACATACTAGATTGTGGGTTTGGCACAGCCAGTTAAAAACCCACGGCAGTGCTCTGAGGAGACAAGGGGATGTCCTGGAGTAGAGGAGAGCCAGCAATAATTCCTAGAGTCTTGGCCTGATCCATTTCAGTGTACATTTATACCATTTATTGAGATGGGAGAAAAAGACATGGCGAGCTATACGCATCTAGGTTACACTGCAGCTGCCCAGGAGACACCCACACAGAGGGTCAAATAGGCCCCAGCTCCAAGCCTCTGACACAGGGACAGTCTGGGCTGGAGAACTGGGAGCGATTGGCTTCTGGGGGCACTGAAAGCCAGGGATCTGGCTGGCCTCGCCCAGGGAAAGGACTGGAAAAAAGCCTAGGCCCAGGACAGGGACTGGAGTCTCCTGAGAAGTGACTGGGATGGGGAGAAAGAAAATCCAGGCATGATGGCATGGAGGCAAGGGAAGATGGCATCAGCAAAGAGTGCCAGTCCCCTCTGTTGAATGCAGTGGAGATGCCAAGAGAGACTGAAGAGAGAGATGTCTTTGGGGCTGGGTAACATGGAGCCTATGGTGACTGTGACAGTGGCAAAGTCAGCAAAAGAAGAGCTGAGGGTACCGTGGCCCATGGGCTTAGGCTGCTGTGAGTCGGACTTCTGCCTCGGGAAGACTGCAGTGGCAGTGAAGTGCGTGGTGTACTCTAATGTAAAGCCCTTCCTTGAGCTTAGATCTGACCAACTTGAGCCCAGCTCTGCTATTGCTTATGGGGAAATGAAAGATGATAACTTACAGTTCTCACTGTGGGGATGACACCAAAGCCTGTGTATCTACCTATTTCTGCTTTCTCTCCCAAACTGGAATCACAAATGCCGTCAGAAATGCCTATGTATTTTCTCTTCAAATGCACGCTTGAAGTGCAGCAGCTCCATGTTTAATCCTTTGCATGTGCCCCATAGCTACTCAGTAATAAAGGAATATTCAAACGCATTCATCTCATCTGCAAAAGCAGAGAAAGATGGGTACAAAATTGTATTGAAATGAAATATAACCATCCCTCAGCATCCTTAGGTGATTGGTTCTAGGATCCCACCGATACTAAAATCCGAGGATGCTCAAATAAAATGGCACAGTACTTTCGTGTCAACTACATATGTCCTCCCACGTACTGTAAATCAGGACTAGATGATTCATTTTTTATAAAAATTTATATATTTATTTGAAAGGCAGAGTTACAGAGAGAGAGGAAAGGCAAGACACAGAGAGAACGAGACCTTCCATCTATTGTTTCAGTCTCCAAAAGGCTGCAATAGTCGCAATGGCCAGGGCTGGGTCAGGCCAATGCCAGGAGCCTGGAACTCCCTCCAGGTCTCCTATGTGGGTGGCAGGGACCCAAGTACCTGGGGAATCATCCGCTGGTTTCCTAGGAACACTGGGAGGGAGCTAGAGTAGAGGACTTGGACTGGCACTCATATGGGATGCCAGTGTCACAGGCAGGGCTTAACCCTCTGTGCCACAACAATGACCCCTATAATGTATACTCCTAACACAACATGAATGCTATGTAAATAGCTATTTTATTGCCTTGTTTGTGGAAAAATGACAAGAAAAAAGCCTGCACATGTTTAGTACAGACGTGTTTTATTTTTCCTAATATGTTTGATCCATGGTTGGCTGGATCCATGGAAGCTGAACCTGCGGATACAGACGGCTGTCTGTAGATAAAGAACTAATGTGGTGGGACCATCAAAGCCAGGAAGCACTCTCAGGCCCATGACTGAGATGGGGTAAAATGATCTAAGCACAGAAACATGTTTTACAGAAACATCATTCCCAGTCCTCACTCCAATATCAAGGAGAGGGCAAGTCCCTTGAACCCCCTGTATCAGCTTCTGCAAGAGCAAAAGGAGGCCCAGGGGCAAGATCATATTTACAGACACCACCCTGCAGGGGAGAAGAATTAGAAACACGAGGGGGGAGACGGCAGGGACAGCCACACACGCATGCTTAGGAGTCCTGGAGAGGGACCCATCTGATAGGAAATGAGGCCCGGGCAGCACCCTGGACTCTGACACATCAAGTTTAATAATTTCTCTCTAGGAAAGAAAAATGGTGGTAGACAGAGCAGACAGTCCTCAAAAAGGGGCCTAAAAGAAGTAAGATTACAGCCAGTTGGTAGTTTAGCCAAAATTCAACTGTGTTGTGCCCTCGCAGGGAGAGTCGACAGTAAGCCCCAGCTGTGGATAAATTCACTGCCATCACCAACTTTTGGGCAGTTGGCCCAAAAGTTACCATGGCTTCTCTTTTTAAATATTAAACATACCTTGGAATCCAGATACAATTTGGACAACATCTTCATACACCATTAGTGTGGCAGATCGTTCTGGAAGCAGGCCAAGGCTCAGGGAAGAAAATACTGCAAGAACAAAAGTGGATTTAAGAGAACTTTACAATTTAAATACAAATAATGCCCATTCTAATTTTTTGAGTACTCTGTATTTGCTGATTTCAAATCAATAATACTGATTTTTAGGAGGATTAGTGGAAGACCTTTAATTTTTATTTATTTTCATTTTATAGACAGGTGGATGGAGAGAGATCTTCTATCCACTGGTTCATTCCCCAGATACCCACAACAGCTGGCGCTGGGCTAGTCCAAAGCAGAGAACCAAGAACTCAATCTGGGTCTCCAACATGGGTGGCAGGACTCAAGTTCAAAGGCCCCTGGACCCCATCCAGCCCAGGCCTCCATGTTGAGAGAGGAGGAAAGAAAGGCAAAGCAGCTTTCCGGGGAAATGGCCACACCATCTATTTAGTGGCCACTATAGACGAGGCCCAGAGTTTGATGCTGGGAAGAAGAGAGAAACAGTGGAGGCAGCCTGGGTCTTCAAAGGCTATGCATTAGGAGGGGACTCGGACTCACAACCCAAAGTTGCATGACAAGCAGAACGGAGAAGGCAAGGTGCACATTGGTGCTGTGGGAAAGTCTGGCAGCTCCTCAAACATTAAACATACAGCGACCAGATGGCTTAGCAATTCCACTCTAGGTACATGAGTTTACCCAGGAGAACTGAAAACAAACAGTCACACATAAACTGGTACATAAATGTTCAGAGCAGCTCTACTTGTAATACCCAAAGAGTGGAAACAACCCAAATAAACGTCTGTCGACTGAATGGGTAAGCATGGCATATCCATATGAGGGACTATCACTCATCCCAGAAAGAAATGCAGCACTGACGTGTGCTGCAGCGAGAATGGATCCCGGAAGCATCGTGCTGAGGGGAAGAAGCCAGGCACAAGAGGCCACATGTTGTATGATTCCACTTATGGGTAACATCCAGAACCGGCAAATGTGGAGATACTGAGAATAAATCAGTGGTCTCCAGGGGCTGAGAGGAGTGGGACATTGCGAATCTGTGCTAATGGGTACAGATGGGGTGGGGGGCCGTGTGGGCTAAGGAAATAATCTAGAATTACGTGGTGTTGACGGCTGTGCAACCTTGTGAGCCGTACATTTTTATATGGCGGATTTTGTGTCATGTGAATTGTGTCTCAAACACAAAAACAAACAAAAAGTAAAGAATTCAACTCGAGGGTTCTGAGTTGGAGGGAAGATCAGAAGATTCAGTTATGGGGTGGGCATCATGGAACAGCAGGTGCTGTGGTACAGTTGGCTGAGCCACCGCTCGGGATGCCTGCATCCCTTCTTGGAGCATCCAGCTGTAGTCCAGCTACTCTGCTCCCAATCTTCAAGTACCTGGGACCCTGCTGTCCATACAGGAGACCTGGATGGAGTTCCAGGCTCTTGGCTATTGCAGGCATTTGGGGAGTGAAGGAGCAGACGGAAGATATTTTTCTCGCTCACATATGCACTCACTCACTATGCTTTTCAAATAAATAAATCTTTTAAAAAAAAAGAAGTTATAGCAAATTTATAATAGCCAAAAGTAAGAATAGATAGAATAGAAAATAGAATAGAAAAGATAGGAGGAGTTCTATCTTGGGTAAATGCTGCATGGCTACAAGAAAGGTAAACTAGGCCGGCACCGCAGCTCACTAGGCTAATCCTCCGCCTTGCAGCGCCGGCACACTGGGTTCTAGTCCCGGTCGGGGCGCCGGATTCTGTCCCGGTTGCCCCTCTTCCAGGCCAGCTCTCTGCTGTGGCCAGGGAAGGCAGTGGAGGATGGCCCAAGTGCTTGGGCCCTGCACCCCATGGGAGACCAGGAGAAGCACCTGGCTCCTGCCATCGGATCAGCGCGGTGCGCCAGCCGCAGCACACCGGCTGCAGCGGCCATTGGAGGGTGAACCAACGGCAAAGGAAGACCTTTCTCTCTGTCTCTCTCTCTCTCACTGTCCACTCTGCCTGTCAAAAAAAAAAAAAAAAAAAGGTAAACTTAATCTTTAACAGGGATTCTTTCCCCTAATGATACAGGTTCCTTGTGGCCCAGAAGCGAGGGCAAGCATTGCCTGCAGGAAGCAGTTTTCTTCCAAGGGCAGGGAGTGTCACACACCAGGCCCTTCCCAGTGAGGCTGCATTCCTGGGCACACAGAGTCTTGCTACTTGCTCACCCAATCTTGGTGCCAATAGGTAATGTGGTTTGGGAGCCAGATTCAGCCTGTGGTGAGTGGATGGGGAGACTGCACCTGATGCTCCCCACCTACCCAGGCCCCACTGAATGTGTGTCAGGGGCCATCCCTGCTCCCTGTGGTGGACAGACTGCTTTGAGGGGCTAAACAGGACAAAAAGGGAAAGAGAAAAATCCATCTCGATCATGCCCTACCTGTCTGGACGGACATGCCTGCCCTCCAGCGTCTGTGGTCTGACAGCTGAGGGAGAAGGAGGAGGATGCCGAACCCTGAGGGAACCCCCAGTTCTCATCCTATTAGTCACCCCCAATAAGCTGTGAGACTGAGATCTGGGGAAACGAGCCTTTAACCCCAGAGTGTGTGTAAAGAGGCAGAGTCCACACCAGCTTCATGCTTTTACCCAACCTTCCCTTCCTACAAGGGGGCCCCCGGGGCACAGGACAAACATGCAGAATTCACTGACTGCCACCACGGCAGCCATACAATGAACTCCGTGTTAGAGAAGGTTGAAGAACGCCTTACCGGGGAATCGGATCGGCTTCCACGGGGCAGAGTTTGGCACGTAGGCATGCTTGGTGGCAGTGACCACCAGCTGACTGCCCAGCTTATACTGGAACTTGATGAAGGCGACGCCATCTGTCCCCGACGTGCCAGAAGCAATGGAGACCTGGTTGTTGAAAACCTCAATGAGCGCGTCCCCAATGGGCTGGTGGGTGCTGGCGTCACTGATGTGCACCTTCAGCGTGACCTCTGAAAGCAGAGAAGGTGGAAGAGCCATGCTGTCAATGGGGAAAGACCAGTCACAATTCCAGCAATCCAGCTTTCACCATGATGGGGGGCTGGGCTGGGATGTCCCCGGCAAACGCAGACCCACATCCAAAACGTGAATAATTTTAACCAGAACATCTTCCTCTCACTTCACAAGACTTCTTATTTTTTTTTTTTCAGAACCACTGCCCATCACAAACTGCTTTCTTTTTTACTGCTTTCTGCCCATACCTACAAGGAAATGATAGAAAAAGTCTATGCCTGTAAGACACAGGACAGCAGACACACGCTCTCTCACCTTTCCCAGTGCTGCTGCCAAGCACAGCCGGCAGAGCCTGGGCTGCTGCAGGAAGGCCGGAGAAGGCTGTGTGCGCTGCAGCCACGTTGGTGAACAGCTGTGCCGCTGCGGACATAAGCGCTCATTGTGCTGGGCATTGCAAAGCTCAGACCGAAAAGTCCTCAGATTATCTTGAGGAATGGAAGACCCAAAGAGTGGGGCAAGGCAGGGTTAGAAGAAGGAAAAAATGAGAACTGTTTGCAAAGACAGATGAGGCAAAGTTAGAAATACCGGCAAAAAAGCAGACAGTAACTGTAGGAAATGGACAGATCCAAATGATTCAAACGTGAAGATGGGATGGAAGGTTTTCATTCACAAACACAGGAGGCGTTTTCTGAGCTTTCACTGTGGCTACAACTGTTAAGTGTGCGCAACAACATGGTGATGAAGCCAACAGGTACAGCAGCTGAGAGGGAACAGCATGTGCCAGGCTTGGAGGCATGAACAGGTCACACTTGCAGGAGAAAGGACAGCAAGGTCAGAAAGCCAATGGACAGCACGAGGGGTATGAGGCTGGAGAGGCAGGTGGATGACTTAAAAGGATTATTCCTTATCCTGAAGACAACAGGGGAATGGAAACCAAGATCACGCAACAGAAACATCTGGCTCTGAGTGAAGACCGGGCTGGGGGAGAGGCAAGACTGGAGACTGAGCATCCAGTTAAGAGGCCTCTGATAACCCAGGAAAGAGATGATAGTGGACCAGACTCCAGCCTCACAGTGGGCATCAAGATGTTGATTCCAGAACCAGATGGAAGAAACAACTCAGAAGCATATGCTGCTCCCACTAAACTCTTCATTGATATAGGAAGGGAGTAAATGGTGCTTGGTGACATAAGCCCAACCTGGACACTTGCGGGATGACTTGCCATGCTGCTCCCATCGGACAGCTGTATCAGTGACTTGAGATAGAGAACTGGGGCAAAGACTAGCAAGGAACTACAAGTTATGCAGGGAAACTCAGGCTTCCAGAACCCCCGGAGCCAAGCTCCACAGAGTGTCCATCAAGGAGGCCAGTGAAGGCTGGCTTGGTGAGGATGAGGGAGGAGTGCTGGGGTTGGCCCCGCATGTGTGGCCTCGTGGTCACTCTGGAGTTCTGTTAGGTAGGAAGTTAGAAATTAGCCTATGTACTCTATGAGAGGGGCCTATGGAAAACAAAGCATCTGCAGAAGCTCATCTTGGCAGCAGTATAGTATTTCACACTAGAAAGTCCTGCCCATCCCCTGATAGCACTGAGTAGAGAAACCCTGCGAGGAATTTCACCTAATTCACACTCAGCAAACCCTCTGTTCTGGAGAAGAGGGAGGGGGAAGGAGAGCTGCACCCCATTCCCTTATAAGCCCCAATCTACATACAGACTGCGCACTCAGCTCTTAGTCCTTTCCTGAGCCGCCTGCCTGGCCTGCCAGGTGTATTCTCTTCATTGAGCCATGTAACCTTGCTTTCCCCAGTCTGAGTGACTGGGTACTCTCAGATTCTGTCTGGAGAGGTGCCCATCCATTCTTCTGGATGCTCCATGCCATTAAACCTTGCTACCTTGCTTACCACTGCTCTCTGTCATGTCTGAGTTCTTTCTTGCACAAAGACAAGAACCTCTGCTACCCGTCTCCGCTGACAGTTCTGTGGCAATTCATATCCTGGCTTGATTCTCAGCTCCGGAGGACTGCCCGGTGGCCTTCACCTCTCCAGGGCTCAGACTCCCTACCTGTAAGCTGGGGGTGCCAGCAGCACACAGCTCCACTGCCAGGTGGAACCATTTAGGCTAATGCCTAGCAGAGGATGCCTCCGCACACGCTCCTGCCCTTCTTCATTCCAATTACTAGGCCTGCGGCGCTCACTGCCCTAGGGTGATGCGTGGGGCTCAGAAGAGGGCGGTGGAGGGAGGCAGGTGTGCAACGAGAGAGAGGATGGGATCCTTCTAGGTTTACTAATACCTGTGCATCTGAAGTGCTCTCCTCAACTGCAGCCATGGTGGTTTGAGAACTTCCACCTTGGTAATTTAGCAGCTGTTCATCCTAGGACACTAAAGCAACCTTTTCAATATTGCAAATTCCAATTAGTCAATCACTTTCTCACCCATTTTTTTCCACATACCAATTTAATAAATTTCTCGAGTAAACGACCAGCAAGAACAGCTAATGAATCCTGATCTAAATACTCTACATATGTATCAAATAAATCCCTCAAAATATTGTTGATTGAGAAAAAAGGTACAGATATTGAACTTGGATAATTCACACTATCAGAGGTGAAAACTAATACCAGAAGAGGGATAAACTCAACATCTCGAAAACTAAGGGTTTGATATTACAAAACACATGTAGTCAGTTCACCTTAATCTTACAGGGTTATCTTCACGCAGAATAAATACCACACATACACACAGACACACACACACAAACATAAGTCTTATTTAAGTTGGTCTTCTTTGTCCCCAAGTAGGACAAGTTTGGCTAAGTCAGGCTAAGTCACAACATAAATTAACTCAGCTTTCATGAATATTCACAAAGAATTCCTTGGGAAGAGGGTAAGTGGGAAGGGCTCAGAGGGCTGCATTGATGTGAATTTATGGTAATGCAACATTTACTAACAATCGGGATTACAAGGTTTCTGTTCTTTCTTCTCTATTTGCTGAGAATGCAAACCCTGAAGAGCTCTGGAAAGAAAAAGTTTATGAATAAACAAAGAAAGGGAGAGTTGCACTCTGATCTATGTTAGAAGTTCTACCACTTCAATTTCTTCTGATATGGGAGGTCTAGCTTATATACTGCAATTTGTACTTTGAAAGAAATGATTTAGCTCCTTCTTTTGGTGTATCAGGATGGGAAGAAATACCAGTACGGTCAGGTAATCCTTAGAGATGACTGGAGCATCACTGTTATGGAGTTCAATAGCAAACAAAACTATTTTTACTAAATGACAACCTGGGAAATAATATCGCAATGAAAGGTGGATGTTCACCACTAATGTACTGTCCTTCTACAGATAAAATAAAGACCCCAGGAACGGCCCCAGACCTACGTAGGCATGAAGATTCGCCATGCTCCTCTGCTGATCAGTGAGAATTGAGGGATGCTGCTGAGCCGAGCAGGAGCACCTGTTTACTAAACCAGAGGCTGGACCAGCGTCCTTTACTCGTCACCCAGCACACCCATCACCAAGTTCTGCTGCTTTTCATTCCAAGATGTACATCTTGTAGGCCTTCCTTTAGCACCCTTGTTAACACTGCCCTATTGCAAGGCCTCATCATCCGTCCCTTAGACTGTTGCTCAGCCTCTTAACAAAAGCTGCCACTGCCTTCAGGCCTGAGCCCTCAAACCTTGCTGAATCCGGAGGGAGCTACCTAAAATACTGATCTGACCTCTGCCTGTCTCCCTGGAACCCTGTTTCTGCCAGCCTCCCTCCACCTGCAGTAGGATGAACACCCACGGCCTGACCTGCTTTGATTGGTCTATGAGTTAAGAGTGGATTTTATACTTCACATTTTATGTATTTATTTATGTGTGTATTTATAACAAACAGAGAGACTGAGAGAGAAATCCCATCTGTTGTTCACTCCCCAAATGCCTGCAGTGGCAGAGGCTAGGCAAGGCTGAAGCCAGGAGCCAGGAACTCAATCTGTATCTCCTATGTGGATGGCAGGGACCCGACAACTTGCTGCCTCCCAGGGTGTGCATCAGCAGGAAGCTAGAGTTGGGAGTGGAGCCAGGACTCAATTCCAGGCACTCCTGTAAGGGTTGTAGATGTCCTAACTGGTGGCGCAACTGCTAGGTCAAGTCTCTGCACCATATGCTTTTTAATGACTAAAAAAAAAAAAAAAAAAAATCAAAAGAATAAATACTGTGTCACGTGAAAATTATCTGGGATTCTAATTTCAGCGTCTAGAAAGTTTTATTGTACTATAGTATACCAGCAACTGCATCTCATCTCTAGCTGTTTTGCATTGTAATGGAAGAGTTCTAAAATTTGCAAGAGACCTTATGCCCTGCATAGCTTAAAACTAGGTAACTTTCTTGGCCTTTTAAAGAAAAAGGTGGTCGCCCCCGAGGGACAAGAGACAGATCCTCCCATCAGGGCCCACCTGACCCCCACATTCTGCCCTGGGGCTTATTCCTTGTCCTGCTCGCAGATGCCTTTCACTTGGGAAGGAAAATGATTTTCTACACCTTCCCTTTCATGCCCCTCATTCTTATTCTTCCTTTCAAAGTCCTAGTGTAGGCTTATTTGAGAAGTTACTTCCAACTTGACAACCCCTCCCCTGTCAGAGCCTCCTCCCCTTTGCTCTCCCCAAACTGGGTGGACACAGACTCTGCTCTCTGCTGTAGGCCAGCTGTGCAGGCAGACAATGGGACTCAGACCCCTGACCCTCAGGAGCCTTGAGCTCTGCAGCAGTACCTGCCCTCCCAACCCCCGCACCGCCCCGGTTTTGGGTACCTAGTAGTCTCTGCAGTTTGAAATACTGCATGGAAAATTTTAGAAATAAACACCTAGAAATAAGTTGCATGCTGTTCTGAGTAGCATAACGAAATCCTATACCATCCCATTTTACCCTTCCCAGCACAGGATCATCCTTTTGTCCAGCACATCCATGCTGTACATGTGGCCGGCCCACCAGGCATTTGGCAGCTGTCTCAGTTATCAGACCAAATTGCCCGTATTGCAGCGCTTGTGTCCAGGTCAGCCTATTTCACTTAGTGTTGACCCTGAAGAGCAAGAGTAGTAGTGATGTGGCATGTTGTCAATACTGTCAAACTAGTTCTATTTTATTTTTGATTTGTTGTTAATGTTACTGTGCCTAATGCAGAAATTAAAGTCTTATAGGTAAGTAAAAGGGTGCTTTTAAAAATTCATGAAAATGGGGTTAAAAGTTTATTTTGGTGCCAAAAAATCTGAAATTCATGTATAAGAGGGTCTTCCAAAGGTTTGTGAAAAATATGTATTCTTAAAAACTATGGATGGATTTCAGAAATTCTTGGCATCAAAATGGTTACCTCTGAATTCTGTTTTTCCATGAACGTTTTGCAGTATGCATGTATGTACAGGAGAAAACAGGGTCTGGTGCTATCCATAGCTTCAGGTACCTCCTGGAGGTATTCTTTGCCTCCTTCAGGTCTTGGCATGGAATCCCCCTGTAGATAAGGGGTGCCAACTGTAAATAAAAACCAAAGTAGAGTTTTAAACTGGCACCCCAGGGGAGCACAGAGAGGGAACCTACTTTCAAATGTGTGGTCTGGGAAGGCAGGGTCATTTCAGCTTAGACCTGAAGAGACACAGGCACCAGCCAGGGCAAGAGGTGAAGGCAGAGCCATAGAGGAGGAGGACGACCCGGTGACTTGCACTAAACAAAATCCGGTGTGGAGAGAGCTCAGCTCATAGGCCCCCGTGCCTGAAGGCAAGCAGCACAGACCACACCAGTGCCAGTTTCACAGTACCTGCTGTGGCCTGTGAGCCCTGCAGGAGGGGTCGTCTTTTTCAAAAATTCATTCTTTCATTTTATGGAGCCAGCAGGTATTCACTCAATGTTTGTAAACTGGGTGCTGGAGTGAAACAAACCACATCCTAACGTGGCACTGTCCAAAGTGGGGGCCACCAGCCACACGCAGGCACGCACGTTTAAGTTTAAATTAGTTAAACGTAAATTAGTGTGAACACTGAGCTCCTTGGTCACAAGGCACATTTCAAGGGCTCAACAGCCACATGTGGCTTGTGCCTGCTGTATGGGATGGCACAGGTGAATTTCCCCATCACCACAGAGAGTGAGGTAGGATGGCACTGATGACGTATTACAAACCTTCTGAGTAGAGAAAGCCAGGGGGGCTCAAGGAGCTCCCGGGGGAGTAAGTCAAGAGCGTGACTCTGCAGCAGCCCTGACAGTAAGAGAAGGCGCCTCCTGTGGTCTCTATCGGGTCCTCACCCCTCACCTGAAACTACACGTCTGTCCTCTCTTGTCCTATGCGCTCCCCATCCAGGGAACTGGGAGGTAGCCAGGGGGCCCCTCCCTTGCCTGGCACCTCCTTCCACCCCTCATCCACGCAGCCCACTCCCTCACCTCCCTAAGGCCTTGCTGAACTGCCACCTCCTCGATGAGTCTCTACCATCACCAAATTACATTTAAAAAAATTATTATGGGAATTTTAGAACATTCTTTGCCACAACAAAATACCCTACAGTAGGCAGCTCATAAACAACAATATTATTTCTCACGGTACTGGTAGCTTGGAAGTCCACGATCACAGCTGATTCCCGGGCCGCTGAGGGCCTGTTTTTCAGGCACCGATGTTGACTGCTCACTTCATCCTCACGTGGGAGAAAGGGCGAGGTCACTCTGAGGTCCCTTTTTCAAGGACACTGCTCCACCCTCATGATCTAATCAGCTCTCGGCGGCCCCACCTTCTACTAGCACCATACTCTGGGGAGTTAGGATTTCCACAAGAGAATGTGAGTGGGGGTAGGGGGAGCAGACACAAACATCCAAGTCATAGAGAGGTTATACAGAGGACCGCTCAAAGCCTGCCCTCCACCACCTGCACCACTACGCTGTTTGGTCAGACAAGTTTCAGTGGTGATAACTCTCTGCCATTCTGGTCTCAGGTATCCCGTTTTTTTGCTGAAATAATCTGCAGCAAATTCTAGATAACATGTTAAATTATATAATTTCCCTATAAGTTTCAGTTCACAAAAGATGAGGATTTAAAACAGCAGAGAGCTGGCCTGGAAGAAAGGCAACCGAGACAGAATCCGGCGCCCCGACCGGGACTAGAACCCGGTGTGCCGGCGCCGCAAGGCGGAAGATTAGCCTAGTGAGCCGCGGCGCCGGCCCGCAACCCATCTTGAATTTCTGAAGTTGTCCTGCTTTGATATTTTCATTTTATATATGACACTCACCAATTATAGTATGTTTATAATGTGTATGTTCTTTAGCCATCAGCTTAGACCAGATGCAAGCTTTGAGAGAATGAGTCTGCCTGTTTGTCTTTCTTTCTTCATTCATGAATCCTAAGCATACAGAATAGTGTCTGGCCCAATATATATAGTGAGCAAATCACTAAAACTTGTAGGTATTTCTGGATATTATCTGTTGCATGACCTAAGTATCCCTGGTATTATTCCATTTCTTACCCATCTTACTGTCAAACTCCGTTTAAAAACATTAACTATATTTAACTTAAAATTAAATATAAATATAGTTTAAAAACTATAACTAATGACTGTAACTATTTAGTACCTAATATCATGCTATGCATACAGGAGCTAATCAAAAAATATTTATTGATCAGCTACTGTTGCACAACATGGTACAAGGTACTGTTGGGAGACTTGAAAAAAGAAGAAGGAAAGACATGGCTCCCATTTCTAAGGAGGTTCCAGTTGGGCAAGGGATGGGGAGGGAAGTCCAATCTACATGGCAGAGGGCAAAAAGGATGAAACTTGGCGGGGAGGTGTAAGAATAGACGCAGCCAAGAAGAAGCGATCTGGAGCTTGCAGGGAGAAAGAGAAACAAAGAAGCCAAAAAAGATCTGTAAGTAGCCAGAGAGAGGGACAAGAGTCAAAAGATTTAAAGACGGGTGTGACACGACCACAACTGGAAAGCAATGGAGGTTCCACGGGTATGTGCTGCGCGCCTACCGACCTGATTATGGGTTACAGAGTTCAGCGGGGGAGAATGCTTCCTGGAAGAGAGGAAAATTGAGGCTGAGGCTGGTAGGATGGGTAGTGTGGACAGACGAGCCAGGACCAGCCTGACTTCTTTCATGCGAGGATGTTCTATACTCCAAGTTCCAGGCAGTCATTTTCCCATACTCCCTTGTGGCTGGCTGAGATGGGGAGGAATATATTTTGGTGCCGCTTAATCTGATGCTGGATTTTTATTTGGAAGACAGCACAGAGAAGCAGGTGTTTTTTCTGACCACAGGGACTAGGAAGGAGGCATCTGGGACTAGTATCAGCCTAGGGCTCAGGCATCGCTGTGGCTGGGAGCCATCCCCGGAATGATGATGAATGTCTCTTCTCATTAAACCAGCTAGAGTGGGTAGTGCTGTTTGCCCTCGGCAGGTCCTGTGTGGCTGACGACTGTTTCCTCGAATCTGTGCCCATGGGCTCTCCTCCCAGCCTCCTGGTGCCTTCCTGGTGCCTTCCTGGTACACAGAATGGGCTCCACTCCGCAGGTCTGCTCAGGTCAGGTGTGTCCTGGGCAGTGTGTACTCTGGCTTCTTCCTGCTACTCACTCTTACTCAGTGAATTATTTTCTGATCAGGAGTTCAACCATCGCCTCTAGAGCATTCTCAAATTTTCATCAGCCAGGGGCAGAGCCAAGAGGGGAGAAAGAAGTACGCAGGAATTCTTCTTCCACCGTGATTCAGAGCTCATTTGCTCTTGGCAAGCATGAAGGGTTTGGCTCTGCGGGCGCAAGTTCGTCCGTTTTAAGCAGTACAAAGAGCATCTGCTTTGTGGGTAGAAAACTAAACATTATCTTTTAGCCCAGCATTATCTTTTAGTCATTTCCTTTCTAACTGCCACAAATTTAGAACTAAATGCAACACGGCTGTTTCAAATTGCTGGCTTTGGAGAAGGCACCTCTGAGTAGCAAGTTAAGAGGAGACCTAATAGCTGGGACAAGAGGATGAAATTATGGTACATGGTTCAGACAGCAGAACACTGGCAAACTGCCTGAAGACACTGGGAAGTCACCTGCATAGTTCACCTCGATTTCTCTCCCCACCCTGCATCGTCAGATAATAATGTACACCTTTACCTATCTTTCAGAATGCATCAATTTGATAACTTCGCCTTCAACTCTAAGAAAAACATCCTCAACTTCTCTCTCAAAATCACAGACTAACACGGAACACTCTGGAAGACAAAGCCCTTTGTGGTCTGCCCCAGGGACAGTGCTAGCAGAACAGGCACCTGCTCTTTGAGTGGCTCTCATGTCTACCCCAACAAACTCTGGGAGGGAAAGCAAAGCTCGTAGACTCCATTCTCCTGTTTGTCTCTATGAAGCTTCTGGCTCCCCTGACTGCTTCTCATTTCCTTTTATATAGTCCCCAAATTGGCCTTTGTTCTGGGATTGCAATTTTTTCCTTTCCTTTTAGTTTTGAGAGCTGCTGGTTTCCACAGCAACACATCCTACTTTGAGCACACAGCATTTTCTGGGTTGGCCCTAGCGGCCCAGCGGAGAGAGTTCATGCATGAGGTGGACCCAGGGAAGGCTCTGGTCCCCAGTGCCTGGAGCTGCGGGAGCCACCTGTCACCAGGGCAAGCAGCTAAAGAGGCCGTCACCACACTCAGCCTCCAGCTCTATGGTGAGATATATTTCACTTCAATTTACGAGAGTTACCTGGTTTTTCATCTCTGAAGTGAAACAACAGAAGATTACTTAATCACCTCTTCCAAAAGAGAGGCTGTTTTTAAAATGTTTCCAGACCTTTGCTCTGAGAGGTTTTGCCCCGTGCTTTCTTGGTGCTAGAATTTTAGAGCATCTGCATGCGCACCGTACTTTCATGACGTTATAAAACAGTTAAAAGCACATTATGTGACAGGGCAGTTTTCTATCCATTCATATGATTGCTTTCATAAACAAAAATAATTTCTTTCACTTTGTAGTCTGATGACCTTATGATACATGCAGTTATAGTAGAACCAAAGTTCCAAAGGTGTTTTTCTTTTTTTCATCTATTTGAAAGGCAGAGCAAGAGAGAGACAGAAATGGGTAGTGTTGGTGGGGGGGAGGATCTTCCATCTGCTGGTTCACTCCCTCAATGTCCACAACATCCAGGGATGGAGCAAACCAAAACCAAGAGCCTGGAACTCCATCTGTGTCTTCTATGTGGGTGGCAGGAATCCATGCACTTGATTCATCATCTGTTGCCTCCTGGGATGCATGAGCAGGAAGCTGGATTGGAAGCAGAGCAGCCAGAACTTAGTATTCTGATATGGGATGTGGGTGTCCTAAGCAGTGACTTAACCTGCAAAGCCACAACACTAGCCTCTTTCTTGTAATTTATTTTCTCCAGTTTTACACAGTGCACAAGAGTTCTTTTGTAAGTTCACAGAATATGGAATTAAAATATAAGTTTGCTGTGGTGAAAAAAATCTGTAAATTCATGTTTTTTTTTTAAGATTTATGTATCTGTAGATTCATGTTTATTTTTTAAGATTTACTTTTATTTATTTGAAAGGCAGAGTTACAGAAAGGTAGAGGCAGAGAGAAAGAGAGAGAGAGAGAGGTCTTCCATTGCTGGTTCACTCCCTAGATGGCCACAACGGCAGGAGCTGCGCCAGGAGCCAGGAGCCTCCTCCAGTCTCCCACGTGGGTGCAGGGGCCCCACTGCAGGCGGCGGTTTTATCTGCTCTGCCACAGCACTGGCCCCATGTACAGTTTTTATAACATAAATTTCCTTAAATGTTTTTGAAGATTCCTAGTATTGTTCAGTTTTATTTTTTTCTTCATAATTCCATGAAAAATGTGCTCCAAGCAAATATATATATAGAAAAACCTAAATATTATAACACAGACCACTCATTACATATCATATATTAATTATAATATACAGGGGGCCGGCGCTGTGGCACAGCAGGTTAAAGCCCTGGCCTGAAGCACCAGCATCCCATATGGGCGCTGGTTCGAGACCCAGCTGCTCTACTTCCGATCCAGCTCTCTATTATGGCCTGGGAAAGCAGTAGAAGATGGCCCATAGTCCTTGGGCCCCTGCACCTGCATGGGAGACCCAGAGAAGGGTCCTGGCTCCTGACTTCGGACTGGCACAGCTCCGGCTGTTGCGGTCAATTGAAGAGTGAATCAGGCCGGCACCGTGGCTCAATAGGCTAATCCTCCACCTAGAGGTGCCGGCACACTGGGTTCTAGTCCCGGTCGGGGTGCCGGATTCTGTCCCGGTTGCCCCCTTCCAGGCCAGCTCTCTGCTATGGCCAGGGAGTGCAGTGGAGGATGGCCCAAGTGCTTGGGCCCTGCACCCCATGGGAGACCAGGAGAAGCACCTAGCTCCTGCCTTCAGATCAGCACAGTGCGCCGGCCGCAGTGCACCGGCTGCAGTGCGCCAGCCGTGGCGGCCATTGGAGGGTGAACCAACGGCAAAAGTAAGACCTTTCTCTCTGTTTCTCTCTCTCACTATCCACTCTGCCTGTCAAAAAAAAAAAAAAAAAAAAAAAAAAGGAGTGAATCAGTGAATGGAAGACCTTTCTCTCTCTCTCTCTGCTTCTCCTCTCTCTGTGTAACTCTTTCAAATAAATAAACAAATAAATCTTTAAAAAATTATAATGTACATTATTTATCAATGTATAACATGGCTCAATAAAAATCTGGTACAATCTGTACATCATGGGACTTCCTGCCATCCAATTTCTGGCTGCAACCAAAGCATCCTGCAATCTTCACGTGACTGATTCTAAAAGCGATAGTTGGATGTGTTCCTGCAAAGACCAAGATTTCTTTTCTGTTCACAGAAGAGAGAGGACAACGCAGGCATGCGCCGGGGAGTCGCGTGAGAAGAGCACTTCCATCCTCCTGGCTCCCGATGGCCTCTCGGCAGCTGTCCTCCTCTCAAATCTCTTGATGATCTGAGGTCACAGTCCCTGATGCAGAATTTCCACCTCTGGGAGCTTTTCCTTTTAAAAGCGCTCCGTTGTTAAGCTACTGCTTGGGACGCCTGTATCACATATCAGAGTTCCTCCTCCCAGCCCCAGATACTCTGCATTTCACATCCAGTTTCCTGTTAATGTATCTGAGAAGCAGTGGCTGATGCCCTAAGTGCTTGGTGCCTGCCACTCACATGGGAGACTAGAAGGACATGCCTTGGCCTGGCCGAGCTGGGTCTTGCAGGCATTTGGGGGATTAAACCAGAGGATGACAGATCTCTGTTTCTCCATGTCCCTCTCTGTATTTCTCTTTGTTACTCTGACATTGAAATAAATACATAAATCATTAACAAATAAGTAAGTGTTCCTTGGGGTGGGTGTTTTGGGGCAGTGGGTTAAGCTGTTGCTCAGAACACCTGCACCCCACATCAGAGTGCCTGTTCTGCCCCCACTTTGAATTCAGCTTTGTGCGAATGCACCTGGGAGGCAGCATATGATGGCTCAAGTTCTGAGTCTGCAACCAACGTGGGAGACCGCAATGGAGTTACTGGTTCCTGGCACAGCACTAGTCATTGTGGCCATTTGGAGAATGAACCAGAGGATGGAAGGTCCGTTCTCTCTCTCTCTCTCAAATAAATAAAGATGAATCAACAGTTAAAAACAAAACAAAAATGTTTCTTAATTTCGCAGGGAGGATTATGACCTCTAATACATTTGTTTAAATTTCTACTCACATGAAAAGGATGTTTCCCGCTGTGGCCCTTGGGAACTAAGAACACTTTGTGACTTCTTGTGTTCTACAGTCTCTGGCAACTGACTCATTGTCTGAGCCCTGTGAAAAGACAGCCATGTGGCAGACTCAATGGTTACAGCTCCAGCTTGCAACAGAAAGAGAAGAGATCTGTGCAGGCAGCCGATCGGTGCTATTACAGCACGGGCTTGTACATCAAACTGGGTGCCCCTCTACAGGGTGGGTGTTTAAGGCCAGATTTCCTTCCCACCGTAGTCTGCACCAGGCTCACACATAGTGTACTCTTTCTCACCTCAGCTTCACCTCTGTCCTTCCCAAACTCCTGCCTTACATAGTTATCAGGACACTTCTGCCCCATCAATCAGTGGGCTCTTCCTCTCCTCTCCCACAAAGAGACAGTTCTACCAGAATCCAAATGAAGGACGCCCACTAACGACACTCTGTAACCAACGTCACCAAGCTGCCAAGAATGCTGAAACATGCAAGAATGTTGAAACATACACTAGTAGTATGGCAAGTAAAGAAAGCATGATAGATTCATGTAGATGTATGCTTTCTACTGTTTTCAAGTAACAATACACATTATTCCTTTCCCTCTAAACATGTATCGTGGAAACAGAAGACACAATCCTAAAAAATCAACAACCTCCTACAAATTTTTAGCTAAGAATTCTGTTGAGCTTGCCTATACATTAATCAGTTAAACAGTATAAGTTCATTCTTTTATTATACCTAATAGAAAATGAGGTTTCTCCCTATGCATGTTACACTATCAGAGCAATCATAAAGGTGCTACACTCATCAAGGGATTTTAGGTGAATATGCCAGGATAATTTGAAAATTATTGGGGCCAGCACTGTGGCATAGTGGGTAAAGCCACTGCCTGCAGTGCCCGCATCCCATATGGGCACTAGTTTGAGTCCCAGCTGTTCCACTTCCAACCCAGCCCTCTGCTATGGCCTGGGAAAGCAGCAGAAGAGGGCCCAAGTTCTTGGGCCCCTGCACCTGCATGGGAGACTTCGAGGAAGCTCCTGCTCCTGGCTTTGGATCAGCACAGTTCCAGCCATTGTAGCCAACTGGGGAGTGAACCAGCGGATGGAAGACCTCTCTCTCTCTCTCTCTGCCTTGCCTTCTCTCTCTGTGTAACTCTGACTTTCAAATAAAAAAAAAAATAAATCTTTAAAAGAAAAAAGAAAATTATTGCTGAACTTATCTGTCTCAACTGTACAATTAACATACAAGGGTGTTTCAAAAAGCTAGAGGGTGGCCAGTGCTGTGATGTAGCAGGTTAAGCCATAGCTTGTAGCACTGGCATCCCATATGGGCAGCAGTTCGAGTACCAACTGCTCCTTTTCCCATCCAGCTTCCTGCTAATGTGCCTGGGAAAGCATTGGAACATGGCCAATTGCTTGGGCCCCTGCACTCATGTGGGAGGCTTGGAAGAAGCTCCTGGCTTCTGGCTTCAGCCTATCCCAGCACCAGCCATTGCAGCAATTTGGGAAGTGAACCAGAGGATGGAAGGCCTCTCTCCCTCTCTCTCCCTTTCTAACTCTTTCAAATAAATAAAAAAAATCTTTAAAAATTTAGTGGAACAATGGAATTAATAGTTTATCTTGATGTAAAAAAATGGAAATCCATGCATAGTTTTTCATAATTTGCATTTTCCAAAAAGTATAATCTTTTCTAAAAGACTATACTTACTTATTTACTTTGTTTGAAAGGGAGAGAGAGAGAGAATACTCCATCTGCTGGTTCACTCCCCAGGTGTGAGCAACAGTTGGAGCTGGGCCAGCCTGAAGCCAGTATCCAACTACTTAAGTCATCACCACAACCTCTCAGGATGTACATTTGAATGAAGCAAGAATTAAGAAAGGAGCCAGGGGGCTGGCGCTGTGGCGTAGTGGGTAAAGCTGCAGCCTGCAGTGCCAGCATCCCATT